GAATAACAGTCACCGTCTTTGGTTGTTGGAGCAGTGAAATAAACAATCTAGCACATGATGTTTTTACGAGCTGTGACAGATGTGAAACCAATTTGTCAGGACTGAGACAGGATAAGCTCTTGATTCAGATTAAGTCTGCACACCCATTTCCTCATTTATTTCAATGTATGAAGTACTGATACTTCTTTCTGGCTGTCAGTTTCACTGGGTTCAGGCTGTTTACAAATCGATTCTGACTCTGCTGGTGTCATTTGCCTTTCAGTAGAGAAAACATGATCGATAGCATATAGGAGAAAAATTGTTCTGCCTTCTGGATCGCTGCAAGTAGCTGGTGCCCTACTAGTAGAAATCAATTTGTGTTGATTTAATGGACTGTCATTTAAACAAATAATGTCTTTTATTGATGGTGTTTGCAACAAAGCTTAATTGTAAACCATCCTTGTGACTATTCTGATCGCCCCTATATTGTATTAAAAGTACAAACTGGCGGTTTCTGTTAAGACAAGCTCATCAACAGAGCCGCAGTGCCCCACTCTCTCTCTCTCTCTCCTGTTAGTTCGCCAACTGACAATCTATCTCCCTCCATTATAAATATACACCAATAATAATCCAGGCACAGCATCAGAAAGAAGGGACTTTCTTAAACACAATAATAATCTCTGTGTTGTGAAAAATGTATGGATTGGTCAACACCTACCATAGTGTTTTTTTGCACTTAAAGAGAATCTTACTTAAGTGCGTTTTTCAATTTAAATAATAAAAGTTAGCAGGGGAGCAGAAGCTGTCTCAGTATCTTAAGCGTTCAGAGAAATATCTTCAATAGATTATGGTTTAAGAAAAGGAATCAGTTGTAATTCATTCAGGCTTGGCCAAACTTGTTAAAACAGTACTCAGTAATGAACCTTATTCACACCCTCTAACTATTCAATGAACTGCTCAAGTTAAGAAATGACTTTGATAAATGTCAAAAATATGAGCATCAAGAGCTTGCCGCAAGTTCAAGCCAAGAGCTATTCCATTTGTTTAACAAAATAAGATTTATAACAGGTTAATCAGCAATGAAGCTACCAGTTTACTTTGGGATTATTTTTGACTTTTTAACAAGTATAGATTTTTGTTAATGTTGCTTATTTAAAATGTATGTCACAGTACCAGGATGGCCCTCATACTGCATTCATTGTGGTTTGCAAGAAAACTTTCAACTCTTACTTCATAATAGCGATTTCTCTTCGACAACGGCCTGGCAGCAACAAAACAGCCAACTTCATCTGAATTCCCATGATACCTATAAGAAGAAAAAACGAATAAAATTATCATCATCACTTCAGTCGAAAGTAAGCAAAGGGATGATTAAACAAAATGAAAAAGTGCACTGAAGCATCGCAGGAGGCACTTAACCCACATGACAAATCTGTGTCTACAGGTCATACTCTGATTGAGCCATTACTCATCACTGATACCTGAGTATGTCTCCATCTCTAAGCATCTTTTTCAGACGTTCCCGGTATCGCACTGCTCGCACTTCACGAATTTCTCTGATTCTCCTTCTCCAGTTCAGAAAGCGGTAATGGAGGTTTATGTCGTCCATGCCGGAAAACCATTACAATCTAAGACACAGAGAAACAAAACATTTCATTCTTGGTTTATCATCAAAATAAAGATGTTTTTTATGTTCATTTATGTACTTAACTAGTGCATGATAATTTTTTCTATTAACAATTTTACACGCCCTCATTTCGTAAATTATCACAATAGTACAGCTGGTGAGTTACACCTTTACAAACAGGGCCTGAACAGTGACATAATGGATCCATCTCAAAAACACAGCAAACAACTTTGACCTCAACATGATCACTAGTGTTGCCTGACAACAAGAGGGACCTGCCTTTGAAGCTCAGGCCAAACCCTTCCTGTAAGGGAGTCAATGGTAGGTTTGTTTTTTTCCATTTAAATTCAATCCCACATTCCAAAGACAAGCAAAGGCCTGGACAGTGACTGTACACTGCCAGTGGGCATGAATGTGAGTCCCCTATTCTTTTCAGTCCTGTGATGGTCAGGTGTGTCCCTTGGGTGTCCTCCACCCAAACTAAACTGTGACTGACTCAATACAGACTGGATATTATTTGTGTGTCTGAGACTTTGGGATTTATTGACGTGTGTCTGGCCTCTTTATGTGATGATTATTTTCATCACTGACTAATCTGACAATTATGTGTTTAGTCTGTAAAATGACTGAGCAATTGGGGTGATAAAAGCAAAATGATAACTTAAAAATACAGGAGCAAAATAATCGATTGTCAAAATATTTTTTGTTTTTATTTTCTGTAAAAAATAATGGATTGATTAGTTCAATTCAGCACTAGCGATAGGCTATATGTAATAATGACTTCAAGGTTATGTCATCACAACCGTGGACATACGTTCAAACACATGTGCCAGGTGTCAATAGTTCACCTTTGACTATGTTCAAAGTATTTTACAAAGTGGATTCCTTATCATACGCCCCTTATTAACCGATTGAACTTCATAGTTTATTTGGGAATACCCTGAAATTGTTTTCTGTTCAATGTTCAAGTCCAATGGCATGAAAGTTTGGGCGACTTTATTTTTTAAAATTGATAATTAAACATTTATCCAGCCAAAACAGAAGTAAAAAGTTGGGGATCTATATAATAATATGTTTGAAAAAGTACACCAATTTGAGGACAATCACCTCGTTTAGCCTAATAACCATAGACTGCGAAATGTGTGTATATTAATGATTAGTTCCGCGTTGGTTTCTCGGATGTATCTATTTACGAGCCTTCCGTAAACGCAGCATTAATTTTACCAAACTACAGCAGGACTCCGTTGGTCGGGCTAGCTGCTTTCAGCGATACAACATAATCGCGCTGGAAGTTTAAACTGTACTATAAACATGACTATACCTCATGTAATCTACAAACTAATAAACGTCGACGTGTCTCGTCTAAGTTTCTTACTGTTTCTATGCTTGTAACGCGTCGTCCTTCAGGTTTTCTTCCAAATTTAAGGAGATGAAGTCTGTCAGTTTATGTCCAACCTGCGTTACCGGAAGTCCCGCCTCCACAACCAATCAGATCACAGGATAAATACAGCGCGTACTTTTTAACCCGCGTATGCTCGTGCATGTTTAATTGTTTTAGTAAGTTTTCTGTGGTACAAACACAATTACAAATTGAGAACTTCGTATTTACAGATTAAATATTTTGTTTAACACCTTCGTTTTTTGTAAAAGTCAATTTAAATAAGCATGTAGCTTAAAAAAAAACCCATCATATTTGATCAAATATTATTTATTTTACTTTTGAACCAGCAAGAGTTAGCCTACATATTTGCTCAATATGTGCTTTTTCTTTTATAATAAGAATGAGAGTTCATTTAAGTTAACTTTAGATATTTCATTCAATTTCATTTAAATTCAGTTTTAACTCAATAAAACAAAAAAAACGATTTATTTTTCGTATATAAAGTACCATGTGCAGTCCATAAAATGAAATGCATGTTGCCCTCACCCGTCCCTGCCATCCCTGGAAACCAATAGTATTACAAATAAATAAAGTAAGTGGCACCATAAGAATAGAAGACAGCAAATAAAACATTCTTAAATAAAATAAAAATCTACAATAAATGATAGAGACACACTGACACTTAGTGCTGCTCTTCACATCTTTTCTCTGGGAAGGTAAATTTGTGGGAAGCATAAAGAGAAAGAAAGATACTGTTTTTTTGGTACATAGCAGACACGCTTCTGGGAGTGATGCAATGTGGCACTTTTATTTGCAATATAAGTCCTTTCTTTGTTTAGTATCCATAGCTTTTAATTAAATTTTTTAAAAACGTTTTTCTTTTTCTCTTTAGGCTAATATGTTTTCATGATATTTCTTATCTCAGCTTAATTGGTATTAAAGTCAAGTAAATACTTTTCTGAAATATTTTCATGCCTCCATAGCTGTAAAGTAATTGTATCTGAGACAAAGTGGTCACAAGTTGAATATTAATATATCATGTAAGAGGACAGGCTGTCAGATTTTGAGATCCTGTCTTCTAATTTAATCTGTTTGTGACTCACAGATGGTGGAATTTGCTGGGTGGGACTCTTTGCTCATGGCTATTAATGTCTTAGTCATCCAACCTTGAGTGGCACTCCTTCAGCCTCTCCGTGTCGGCTGTTTCCTCTCAATCTTTAGCCCTGCAGTTACAGACTATGAAAACACGCTTACAGAACAAAGTGTTTGTTTAGCGGTTGCTATTTAAAGAAAAGTCATAGCAATGACCCAAACAAGCTGTAAACTGATTTAATATGTTTAGTCCTGTTACTGTAAATGTGTCTAAATTTCACAAAACCTGTGTTATTTATGAGTAATGAAAAAGTCCATTAACGTTATAAGAATTTTTTTATTTTTTTATTTTTTCTGAACAGATGCTCTTGTTTAAATTATGCTCAGAGTACTATAATCTGTTGTACAGTATCAACAGCAGCTGCACAAAAAAATAACATGATGTTTGCGATAGAGCCATTAGTGGACTGATTATAAGACACAAAGTCAGATAAATTCTTTGTAAAATATTTCACAGTTCAAATTGAAGTTACTCTTACATGAAGTGCAGTCATTCTAAACGTAGGATGGTGAATTGTGTGTTCTCTGCCATGATTGGTCAGTTACATGAAATTGTCACCTCTGTAAGTGAATGACCCCTCTCAGTGGGGGAAAAAGCCGAGCAATGGAGCAGCAATCATTTCTGTCAGACTGTGTTCAGAAAACATTACTAACCTGCAACCAAGATGAAAGACAAAAGATGTTATGAGCATGCGTGAGAGTTTGTATGTGCATGTGTGGGGAAAATGGGGTGTGCTCGGTTGTGTGGAAATGTGCAGGAAAACAAACACTCTTCATCACGTACCCTCCCATACCTTTCCCCACTTGTTTGGACTCTTTAAAAGCTGCTGCCAGTGGTGTCTGTCAGCCAAATGATCACTGTCTTGGCTTCAGGGAATCACATCCACCTTTCAATACCTTGACATACTGCAGTAGGAGGATCTAAGAGAAAAAGTCCTGACAGAAGATTTTTGGAGACTTAGCTGCAACTATCTGTTAGTGGCCGACTTTTAGAGTGAAATGCTTCTGTACTTAAACATCCTGGTGCTGATCCTCCTACAGCCAGCTCTATCAACCCCGAGACCACAAACCACACGGTCCAGAGGATGTCCCACCTGTAAATCAAATCCCACACCAAGTCTTGAATCTGCAGACTCAAACTCCACTGCTCTGGATGCTGGAGAACCATGTGGGGTCTACACCAGGACCTGTGCCAATGGTCTACGCTGTGCGCCTCAAGAGGACGAGCTGAGGCCACTCCGAGCCCTGCTAGAAGGCAGGGGAGTCTGCAGCAACACCAGCAGCATCAGCCCGACTGAGAGGATCCAGACAGGTAGGAATAATACTGTGTGTTTGCGAATTAATGAATAAGAGTCATTTAAGATTTTGTTTATGGATGGAAAGATTATGGTGAAAAACCACCCCTGCTTGCAAGAATTATTTTTTTTATGCCTTGGTGATCACTATAAACAGTGATTTGTTTTTTTTTAGATAGATTCTAAGACGCCTTTCTAGTGCTTTAGTGTTATTTTGAAAAATTAAATAAACATTTTCTCTAGTTTGACAGGTTTTGGCATAGTAATAGCAGATCAATTCTAAAAATGTTTTCTTTGAATGTCCCTAGACACAGCACCTACTGAGGATCCAAATGAGGTAGAAACCATTGTTATCCAAAGAGGAATTTTACACGAATGACATGAGCACAGGCTTGCACTAAGTTGTATCTGTCCATGTCTGTCTCTTCCTGCAGGCTCCGTGTCGTAAACTTCTAACTACACTTATCAACGGTCTTAATGCCCATTTGTTTGACCCACTACATGACATCTACATGCCCAACTGTGACAAGCGAGGTTTCTTCAGAAAGAAGCAGGTGAGTTTGCAGATGCTGCAACCTATAGCTTTAAGAATGATTGCAGACATGTGTTTGTATTCCCAGCTGTGAACGTGTTTGTTCTGTGTGTGCAGTGCTGGTCCTCTCGAGGGAAGAAACGTGGTAAGTGCTGGTGTGTGAATCAGAATGGCATGCCAGTCTCAACCACCAAGCACAAGGGCCATCTGAGCTGTTAGAAAAGTTTGGAGCCTGGACCGAAGCGGAGGAAGCTTTGTGACCAACATGAGATAAAGATGAAGGAACAACACACAGAGTCTCGAGGGGCTCAGCCCGGTCTTTTACATTTCATTCTCCAGAAGCCAAAAACTCTCCACCAATAAGACGCTGCATCATGAGTAATGTTATCTCCTTGCGCCCTCTACTGAACATTTCAGGACCATAGTATTTAGACGTTTATTTTACATTCACTTTTGTTGTTCATCTTATAGTTTCAGCATTTCATCTCTTTGAAAACAAATATTTCATATCATCAGCCAGGTATCAGGAGACGGTTTGGATCAATGTATGTACCAAAAAGACTTTTCTCAGTATTTTTTTCAACCACTGTAATTGTTTTACTATAATGGCTGTACATAATCTCTGTTCATCCTATTTATGCTACTTCTATAATGTATTACTGTATATTTATGCTAATATTCATTTTAATAAATAACTTATCATTTTTTACTGATGAGAACAGGTAGTCCTACGAGGTATTTTTCAATTAGTTTGTAATGCAGAATCAAATGGGGGCTTTAGTTTTATGATTTTCTTTTTGGGGAGTTTCATTCAGAAATTTTGCCTTCCAAAATTAAATATTAAGATAAAGACTGGCACTGATTGTTAATGGATGCAGATTTTGTTAAATGTTTTTCCAATAAAAAAAAAGTCTTGTTTATCTTGTTTACCTTAAGATTTCCCTACACATATTCATTTTTGTTGTCTATTCACTTTCCTTTCCATCTGGGAAGCAGTTTGCAAACCTGAATCACTGCAGAATATCAGCATTTGAGCTTTCCACTCTGAGCATGATGTCAGAGAAAATGTTGATTAGGTGAAAAGGATCCAAAGATAGCTGTTAGGGTCAGTAAGGAAAATGTAACCTAAAAAGTCCCTAAAATATGAATAAAAATAGCCTGACTGTTCAACTTCAAATGAGTAATATTGAAGTGTATAGTTAAGCCATATAACATGTGAGGTGGGGTGTCACCTTCATAAGAAAAAGAGAAGAGCAGGACCCACATGCAGAAACCAAAAATATATGTTTAAATGAAAGGCACCAAAATCCAACAAAGAAAATCCACAAGGAGAAAACTAGGAGTCACAAGGAAACACTGGTGAATGTGGGTAGAAGAATGAACTGACACAGAAGGGAAGAAACACTGAAACTGAATAGACCGGTAAACTCAGACACAGGTGAAACTAACAAGACACAGGCGAGGACAATGAGGGCAATCAAAAGTGGAAGGAAACACACCGAGGTAAAAAAAACTACAAAATAGAACAGGAAACAGTGTAAACGTAACTCAAGAGAATTACTGAAAAACACACAGGAAACAGAGAAACACGGTGATACAAATGACAAAATAAAACAGGAAATCACAACAAGGAACAAACAAACTAAACAGAAGTAAATCATGACACATGAGGTAGATGCTCCATCACAAGCAAACAGTAAGATCCACTACCAGGAAAATGTCTTCATACACAAATACAACTTTAGTAGTAGCCTAATATAACTTTAATAATAATAATAACAACTGCATTATTGTTATTATTATTAGCAGTAAAAGTGTATTTATAAAGTAGTAGTAGTAGGCGGCCTATAGGCTAATAGCAGTTGAAGTAGACCTAGTCGTTTTTATGACTGTTATAACTGGCTAACAGGCAAAAGCAAACTGTTATTCCTATAAAACTCAGTCAAACAGCATATAGCTGCCTGTTGTTTCATCATCATATTCAATTCAATTCAAAGAACTTTATTTGTCCCCGGGGGGCAATTCAAAGGCACACAGAGCAGTAAATTACCAACAGTGCAAGTAAACAAAACATTTTAACCTAAATATAAAGTGTCAATTTAAATACAACTTAAAGCTTAACTTAACTTAAAAATACTAAATATAAAGGAGCAGATATAAGTGGACAGTGATCGGACTAACAGATGTAAACAGAACTATGTGCAGTAAACGAGAAATAAATATATATATACAGAGCTATGTGCAAGTAGGCTAAATACTAAATACTAAATGATAAGTTATAAGGTGCATGGCGAATAATGGAACAACAGAACTAATATATACAATATAAGTGTAAAGGTAAAAATGAGATAAATAAAGTGACCGTAGTGCAATGATGGATAAGAAACATCAGGAATAAAGTAACCAGAACTGTATGAGTACTGATATTATCATGTGACTGTATTGCTGAATTTGACCCAAGCTCGTCGGGGCTCTTCAGGGCTCTGCTGCACCTGTTGTATTTCTGTGCTAGTGAGATGGATCGACGTAAAACCTCCAAAGTGTGGAGCAGGAGGAGGAGGAGGAGGAGGAGGAGGAGGTGCTGCTGTACTGCATTGCCTCTACTCGACAGTACACAGGAGGGTGCCACGGATGACAACCAGAGCCCTGAGGCACGGACAAGAGTTTAAAAAAAGTGCCATGTCTTCCCCAAGTGCCACTTCTAACCCCCTGAGCATCCTGGCGCGTAAGAGGAAGACTAAGAAGAAGCACTTTGTCCAGCAGAAAGTGGAGGTTTTTCGAGCCAGTGATCCCGTGTTGAGCGTGTTGATGTGGGGAGTCAATCATTCGGTGGGTATGTGTGCTGATTTAAGAGTCTAACCTGTTTACATTGACTCGTCTGTGAATTTCTTTATATAAATAATTTATTCATTGATCATGCGCAGATTAACGACCTGAGCCAGGTACCCGTGCCTGTCATGCTGCTGCCAGACGATTTCAAAGCCAGCACGAAGATCAAAGTGAACAATCACTTCTTCAACAAGTAGGCCTACTGTGCTCCTCTGCTTACATGCTGGGCCCTTTACCCTGCAAACACCCTGTCACTTTAACACATTGCTTTTTCTTTCCTATGATTTGTTTGCCCTTCTTTGCTTATTTGCAGCCCCCTTCTCAGAAACAACAGCTTTGCTACTCAAACAATATCCTAAAGTTGATACTAACACAGCTATACAATGACAGTGACATCAAGCCAAAGAGATGAAAGCAACCCTAGTTTGGTGCAAGGTCAAGTTTAAGAATGATTGCAGAGTTGTGAATGCGGCATGTTTTATTTCCGAGTTGTTTCAGTGTGTTTCAGACAAACAATAGCCTAGAGAACATATAGCTCAGCAGATGAATCAGACAAAGTTATGGGTCAAAGTGAATTATTTAATAATTCTTTCTCAAAGTATACTCTGTCTGCCTTGAGGTTCATTTTCTATACGGATGGAGTCTAGAAAACTTGAGTGGCTCTCAATAATCCTTTAATCCATTGAGGAATCCAGGTCGTGTAGGGACTTATAAACAGAGGTGGACAGAACAATAAAATATGTTTTCTCACGTTAAAGTGCTTTCACCTTGATGAGGTTTCACTCAAGTGTTGTTTCATTTCGCTTGATATGAAAACCTTTCAAGCCACACACAAGGATGTAAATCATAACCAGTGATGCTGTTATGAGTTGTGATTATTAAAAAACTGGCAGATTTCAAAACACTGAAATTAAACACACACACATACGCGCAAATATTTAACTGTTGGTGTCGTCAGTGTAGGATAGAAACACATTATTAGTTGATTAGTTGATGATTGAGTTCTAACTGGTTTCTATATTTCTTTATTTTATTCAAGCCCACACTGATTTGGGGTTTTTGAGACTGTTACCTACATGAGTGGTTTAAAAAGTACTGATTACAGCAAATACTTTTTTGGCTTTTGGAGTTTTTGAGTTGTTGGACGGATGTTGGCTTTACATTTTTGTGTGTGGAACCATCACATTGGCTGTTCAGGTTCTGCTACATGTTCTGCCGTCAGTACTGAGAATATACCGTAACTATAGAGACTGCATAAAACTACTTAATGGAATAATTTGTCAATTAATCCAATTGTTGTTTTCTGCATAATATGTTCAGTAAAGGTAAAACATTACACCGGACATAATGTAAAACGTGTTCATAGATACAGATTTATCAGTAATAAACCTTTATTGTTCCCATAGTCTTTGCCTACTTATACATCGGTCAGGCTCAACATAACGGGAAGGTTTGAATAGTGTTAGCCTATTGATATCTTGATTTAAAGATTTTACCTTCATCTATGCATGTTTGACACAGTTCCAGGTTCGATTAGATGGTCTTTGAGTATTGATTCAAATTGCATTATTCTTATTTGATGTGTTAAAATGTGTGTGTTCCTCAGAGAAAACCTCCCAGGACAATTCAAATTCAAAGACTACTGTCCGCAGGTATTCAGAAACCTGCGAGAACGCTTTGGAATTGAGGACCAAGACTACCAGGTATGGTTTTATAAAATATTCTTCAAAACAGCTTTTGATTTGAAAAAAACAACTCCATTTTCACAAGGTTAGGAAGGGAGAAAGATGTTTGCCTGACAAGAGAAACTGACTTTTGAAAATACAAAACAACCAAGGTTTTCCATTGTGTTTTTATTTCTTTTCTTCTTTCTAACCAGACACATGAATTGATCTACTCCCTTTAAAATTTGCATTTTTTTGTGTAATTTTTGCATGGGCCAGGTGGCACACAAAGTCATCATCCTCTCTGCTCTGCGCACATTTGCTTAGCACACAATCGCTTAATGTAAGGCGGAGTGCATATCCACTTTTGTGCAAAAAAAAAAAAAGTTAAAGAAATAAACATTCAGCATCAGGACAAAATGCAGCTTTTTCTCTTCAACAGTAATAATCACAACAACAACAACAAAAAAACATTGGATTTCCTGTTTGCCTGATAAATTATATTTCAGTGAAAAGGTTATAAAAAGGATACCAGTGTAATGAATGTCAGAGGTTGTCATCTGTACTCAGAGATGTATTCCTCCATCTTGCCAACAGGCGTCTCTTGCCCGCAGTCCTCTGTTTAAAGACGAGGAGGGGCAGTGTGTGGGGCTGCTGCTTATATCATACGACCGCACCTTGGTAGTTAAGGAAATCTCAAGCGAGGAGGTGGAGGAAATGCACAACATCCTCTCTGAGTATCACCAGGTAAGACCAACAAGGTGTGGAAAGCGTCTATTTGACATCTAAAAAGTCTTTTGTTATTGATAAAAATAACTTCACCTTGATGGTTCATCTATTTTCTAGTTTGTGATTTAACCCCTTTCATCAAAAACATGTGAGCATAGATCCTCTGAGTCTCACTTTTCCCTCTCTTTTTGTCTTGTTAATTTTTTATATTGTAAGAGAAATTTTGCTCCTTTCATGAAAACCTTGGTTGCCATGGCAAAGGCTTTCCAACATCAAAGAGTGTTTGAATTTTAAACAGAGTTTTCCCACTACAATTAATCACGGCCAGAGTTCTTGTTTTAACATGAAAATTAGAGTCTATATTAATAACGAATACACACATAGTGTCATAAATGTATATGTATTTAGTGAAAAAGGGTAGACAGAAGGGAAGTAGATTTAAGAGTAAGGTGCACTTTCTATAGAGATTAAATTTAACAGAGAATAATACATGTTCACACATAGAAGAAACAGATTTCCACATCTGTTCTGGGATTGTAGTGAAGGAAATTGGCATCTTTATTGATCATTTGTAGCAGCAGATATTTAACTCCCCATAATGAGAAAAGCACAGTGTTGCTAATTACTATAATGATAGCTCAGTTCCAT